CAAATACAGAATCACCAGTTTTGAAATGTCTTTTCTACAGTCACAGGATGGGCATCTGGGGTGCTGGCAATATCCCCCCTCCCTTTTTAACATATTTATTTATTTATTATTTATTTATTTATTGTGTGTGTGTGTGTGTGAGAGAGAGAGAGAGAGAGAGAGAGAGAGAGAGAGAGATTGAGAATTAACATACATAGGCTCTGGCACATGTGTGGAGATCAGAGGACAACTTGCTAGAGTTGGTTCTCTCCTTCCACCATGTGGGTCTCAGGGATTGAAGTCAAGTTGTCAGGTGTCAGGTTTGGCAGCAAGAACTTTTACCCACTAAACCATCTCACCAGCCCCCAGCATTCCCTTTCTTAACCTGGGTGGTAGTTACAAAATATTTGCCTAGTAATAATTCATTAAGCTTCATGTTTGCGTTCTGTGCACATTTCTGAACATGCATTAATATTTTAAAAGATGAAAGAAAGAGATAATGAAAGGAAGAAAAAGAGAGACCATTTTCCTACCCCCAAGCCCTGGTACAAAAGCAGACATGAGCATTTCTTGGTTTGGTTTATTGTTTTGCTTAAGCCACAGGCTCATGTGAGCTCATAATCTCCATCCCAGACAGGCTGGAAGTTCTGTCTGCCAGACACATTACATGGGCACCCACATTCCTAAAGACACATTTGCTGGAGCCCTGAATTCTAGCCTGCCCCACCCTGCAGCTGCTTCCAATCCAGCACTAATACACTCTGTAGCTCAAGTGGATGTGCACAGAGGGGCTCTTGAACTGTGGACTGCAGAATGAGAGAGGGGGCTTGTGGTGGGCTATGAGATGATCCGCCCCCAACCCCATCCAAGGGCCCTGGAATTCATAACTTCACCTACCATTACCAAGGACGTAACTGTGGTTGAGGGCACCATGAAATGCTAGTGGGGCCCCTGAACTCCAGCCAGGGCTACTAAGTTGAATAAAAAGGCAAGACAAGTCTATGTGTCCTCTTTCGTGAGCAGAGATCAAATTAGACTCTTGCTGTGGTGAGGAATGAGAGCCAAATGCAAGAGGAGACGACAAGAGCCATAGCAATAAATGGTGTTGATATACAATTACCACTCATGAAGACACTCTGCCTAGCACAGTAATGAACCTTTCTTTGTTCTTTCTTTCTTTCTTTCTTTCTTTCTTTCTTTCTTTCTTTCTTTCTTTCTTTCTTTCCTTTCTCTCTCTCTCTCTTTTTTTTTTTGGTCTTTTTGAGACAGGGTCTCCTTGTAGGTCCAGCTGGTCTGGAACTTGCTATGTAGACCAAGCTGGCTTTGAACTCACAGAGATCTGCCTGCCTCTGCCTCTTGAGTGCTGGGACTAAAGGTGTGCACTACCACACCTGGTGAACCTTCACTTCTTTAAGCCCCACAAGAACCCTATGAATGTGATGCTATTATTACTTCTGTTATACACATGAGGAAACTGAGGTGTTTTTTTTTCAGGGCCAAGCATCTTCAGAAAGTCATATGTGTGGTCAGGGCAGAGCTGGCCTACATGATGGAAACTGCTCATGTCATTTTCACATGTCTGGGCACAGAAAGACACCTCTCTCATGGACAGGAGCCCAGCAGCCCCGTGGTAGGAGTGACTCTTGTAAAGACCATCTGGTGCATTATGATTTGGCTGCTTCCTCATTAAACAACCTTGGGATTTGGCTTCCCATGCAACTCACATTCAGGAAAAAAAAAAGAAGACCATGACCTGCCAGCATGACAGCTGTATTTTTCATTAGTAAATTAATACATTGGCTGCCTGGGTCTGTACATATGTCTGCTAAGGGGAATCACCCCAGAATGGGGCCCACTCTTTGCCAACTTAATTGAGATTCTGAGCATGCAAGGATAAGTCCCGGCTGTGGCCCAGGTGCCAAGGAAACTTCTTGGATTCCTCTTGGCAGAACTGGTCAGCCTTCCCCAGGGACAGCCTGACTCTGTGAATTCAACAGCGAGGGTCGTCTGTACAAAGAAGGCTATGACAGTGCCAGGTTCCAGTATGTGAGCTGATCCAAGTTCCACATTCTGTGTCAGACTCCTGGCGCCAGGGTAAAGGCAGCTCCTGGCAGGGGACTGGTAAGGGCTTCTCTGGTGTCTTTGTTCCTCTACACACATGGCCAGGGCACCCTACATCTTACACTCCCTCTCCTCTCATCCACAGTGACTCTCAAAGCTAGTGACCGACAGAGTCTCTCAGGGAGTCTTTTAAAACCTATATAATTCATGGGTCTTCTGTAGAAACAGAGAATGTTTTGCTCTGTTGATGAAAATGTAGTTTTCAAAAGTATACCTAAAAATAATTTGAGATGAGTTCAGTAATGTTCTTTTGGAAAAAATAATGTTTTTGAGAAAAGGTCTCACTATGTAGCCCTGGCTGACCTGATACTCGTTATGTAGACCAGGCTGACCTAAAACTCATAGAGACCTGCCTGTCTCTGCCTCCTGAGTGCTGGGATTAAAGACGTGAACCACCATGCCTGGCCTTTTTGAAATTTTTTAAAACTTCATTTATTATTTGTGTGTTAGGGGAACACATATGCCAAGGCATCGATTTGCTAGAATGGGTTCTTCCTTTCTGCCTACGCCTCCCGGTGTATGGGACTAAAATTGTGCGCCACCATGCCAGGCATAGGAAGTGTTTTTTTTTTTTAATTAATTTATTCTTTGATAATTTCATACATGTATACAATACATTCTGGGCACACTCATCCTGCTACCCTCTCTTAATCCTCCTCTTACCATCAGTACTCCCCTTTCTCCCACCAAGTCCCCATTGCACTTTGGTCTTTTTGAGACAGGGTCTCCCTGTAGCCCCAGCTGGCCTGGATTCACTATGGAGACCAGGCTGGCCTCAAACTCACAGAGATCCGCCTGCCTCTGCCTCCCGAGTGTGGGGATTAAAGGCAGACACCACCACACCCGGCTCATGTTTTTTTAAAAAAATTGTTGTTCATTTTTGAGATAGGGTATCCCTGTAGCCACAGCTAGCTTTGAATTTGCTCTGGAGATCAGGCTGGCCTTGGTCTCGTAGAGATCTGCCTGCCTCTGCCTCTCAAGTGCTGGCATTAAAAATATGCACCAGCATGCCAGACTCCTATATTAAATTTTTTTGACTTATTAATTTTAATTTTATGTGTATGTGTGGTTTTACCTGCATGTATGTAAGTGCACCCATGAGTACAGTGCCTTCAGAGGCCAGAAGAGGGCGTTATATCCTCTGGAACTGGAGTTATAGGCTGTTGTTAGCTGCTATGTGGGTGCTGTGAATCAAACCCAAGTCCTCCGCAAAAGCAGCCAGTGCTTTTGACCACTGAGCCATTTCTCCAGCTTCTTTCATGTGTTTTTGTTTTTGTTTTTGCTTTGTGACCCACTAGGCTTAACCAGGGCCACTTCCAAGGGCATGGGTATGAAGCATGAGTCACTCGCCAGCTCAGCTACAACTCAGAATACAATGACTTCTTCCCTCTACCCAGTAGCCTTCACTTGCCATTAGTTCCCCTGGCCCTGGTGGACCTATGGACCCCTCGCCCAACCTATGACTGAATGTTTACAGTTCACAGTTGTGTGGGCCCTATTCAGGAAATCACAGCTTTTGAGAGCTTGAGTCTCATGGCTATAGGACAGCATTTCATGGCCCTGCTAGGGAGGGTTTCTGCTTTCTTTTGTTTTTATTTGCTTCATTAGTTGTTGTTGTTTTTGTTTTGTTTTGGTTTGATTTTTTTTTTTTTTTTTTGTATTCGTGGTGCTAGGATGAGACCCAGGGCCATGGGCATGTTAGGCAAGTACTCTACCACTGAGTCACATCCCAGTCTGAGCAAGTCTTTTTAAAAACAATTGTTTTAACTTTATTATTATTATTATTATTATTATTATTGTATGTGTGTATACAATAAGTGTGAGTGTAGATGCATACGTTATGGTGCATGTATGGAAGTCAGAAGACAGCTTTGTTGAGTAGTTCTCTCTTGGGGATCAGACGAAGGTTGTCAGCCTTGCAAGGCAAGTGCTTATACAAGAGATTTTATACACTGAGCCATCTCTCCAGCCAAATCTCAGCTGATAGTGGCAGAGATTCTGATGGCAGCAGGTGTAGAGTGAAAGCTGGATTTAAAAAAAATGTTTTTAATGTGTATGGGTGTTTTGCCTGCATATATGTAAGTGCACCATGCAAACAATGACCGTGGAAGTCAGAAGAGGGTGTTGGATCCCCTGGAACTGGAGTTATGGACAGTTGTTAGCTGCCATGTGGGTGCTGGGAACCAAACCTGGATCCTCTGGAACAGCCAGTGTTCTTTACCACTGAGCCATCTCTCCAGCCCTGAAAACTAGATTTCTTCAAGGCCCTCCAGGCAATTCAAAAGCATACACAGGCTTAGAAACCACTCCAGTGAAAAGATTATCCTCAGCCCCCACCCCTACCCCCAGCTCTCCCTAAAGTGCCATTATATCTGTTCAGCAGTTCTGTAAGTCTTTGAATCACTGAAGGTTTTTGGTGCCCTTCTGCCTCCAAAGAGCCTTTCTGGATTCAATCCTGCCTTACCAGGTTTTTTAGGATTTTCCCCAGTCCTTCCCTTCCCATAATGTGCCTGATGTATTGATTTGGTGCTTCCACTCTATTGACCTCCAGTCTGAGTCTTGGGCCATCCCTGCTTTAAAACTTCTGACCTAGATCAGCCCATACTTCCCATTATTATTGGATGACAATGAGAGAAAGATGGATGGAATGGAAGTTGAAGGCTTTGTTCTTCTAGGATATGGCTTCAGACAAATTGAATTTCCTGCCATGGACCTGTTTCCTCATCTGTAAAATGAGAACTCTAGCGATGGTCTCCATGATCCTTCCCTTTGGGCTCTGATTTTATTTTACTCCCTCTTGTGTACTCCACAGCAAGGAAGTGATCCTATAGAAACTGCCCTAAATCAAAGACAGCAGGTGGTCTACCAGTTCTCCCTCCATCCTCTTTCTGAGAGCAGCCATGGCCCTGACTGATGTGGATGTGCAGAAGCAGATTAAGAACACGATGGCTTTCATCGAGCAGGAAGCCAATGAAAAGGCAGAGGAAATAGATGCCAAGGCTGAAGAAGAGTTCAATATCGAGAAAGGACACCTTGTGCAAACACAGCGACTGAAGATTATGGATTATTATGAGAAGAAGGAGAAGCAGATAGAGCAGCAGAAAATAATCCAGATGTCCACCATGAGAAACCAGGCAAGGCTCAGCTGAGAGCCCGAGATGACCTCACCTTGGAATTGCTCAGAGATGCAAAGCTGAGACTCAGTAAAATTATAGAGATCCCAGAAATCTATCAGGAGCTGCTGGATAAACTAGTGCTCCAGGCTCTGCTCCGGCTGCTGGAGCCCGTAATGATTGTCCGCTGCAGGCCACAGGATCTTCACCTAGTGGAAGCTGCGGTGCAGAAAGCCATCCCTCAGTTAATGATGCTCTGTCGAACACATGCAGAGGTCCAGGTTGATCAAGAGGCATATTTGGCTGTAAACGCAGCTGGAGGTGTGGAAGTCTACAGCGGTGATCAGAAAATAAAGGTTTCCAACACCCTGGAAAGTCGACTGGCTCTCTCAGCCCAGGAGAAGATGCCAGACATACGAAGGGCTTTGTTTGGAGACAATACCAATAGAAAATTCTTTACATAAGGCTCTGGAAAGAGAAATTCAGGTTGAACTGCTAAGTCATAAAAGTCCAAGTTATTTGGACAAAAGGAACTCATGTTTCTTCCTCTTTGAAAGCTTTACTATTGTTCTATCTTCTTTTATAAAAGAAAGCTTTACCTTTGAATATCTAAAAGCATTATCATTGTAAACTTTGGAATAAAGCTCCAGTTAATGCTCAGAAATCAAATTCTAGTTCATCTGTATTTGTGGCAGCTTCTAGAACAGTTTGAAGTCTGGATGAAGGAAGTAAAGCTGTCTTCTGATTAGCTTAGCCTTAGGAGAGTTATGAATTACATCTTTGACCTATGAGTCTGTATGCTCTAAGCTTATTCAAGTATGAAGTATGTTTTTTCTCTTTTGTTTCAGCTTTAGTGCCTTGTAGTGATGTCATTTAATGAGAGTCAACATCACAGGTGTGACAGGTGTGGCCAGTGCAGTCACATAGGGCTCATGCTCAAAAAGGCCCCAGGCAATCAGAAACTGCACCTGTAGTTTAATGCTGTATAACCACTGTCTTGAAATTTCTGATTTTATCTTTGGGCATGCGTTTTCTAGGAGAAGCTACAACGGGACACTGGGGTGTGCAATGGACACTGGGGCTTAGAGTCTTCTACTGACTCCAGAAACCCATCCACCTCCATGAGATTGGCTTTTGGCCTGTGCCTTCCAGCTTCTTCCAGCCCCAGAGTTCAGCCTTCTTCTTCACCAGCAAACGTGACCACCCTCTGCCCCTGGTGAGGGTACAAGCAGGGACGGTCAGAGTGGACGTGTACACACTCTGGGGAGTTTTCAGGCTAGGCATAATGGTGGCCATCCCGGCCCTTGCCACAGTACACAAATCTTGAGGCTGATGGGAAGGAGAACCAAGCAGTTGTCAAAGTTGCTGAGCCCAAGTATCCAGGCAAGACCCTCAGCAGCTTCAGAGGCCCTGCATGTGGCCTGTGAAGTCTTCCTTCCATTCAGTGTCTGTAGGGATTTGGGCTATCTCTCGCCCTTTGGGGAAAAACTAAGAAACACAGAGTGTGGTTATTTTTGTTTACATATAGGCATCACACAGTATAAAGTGAATAGTAAAATGTGTGCTAATTTGGCTTTACTTAGGAAAACATTAAAGAGTAAACATGAAAAGCAGAGAGACTGCAGGGGAAGGAACTGTACATGTTAGCACACTTTTTTTTTTTATTTTTCACAAAGGATCTTGTGTTTTTGTCTTGCATTGGACTCCACAGATTTCATAGCTGGTTCTGCATGGGCATGCTTGCTTTAAAGTTTAATCTGTGCCCTGAGTATGTGCTATTGAGTAAAAGGTTTTGAAGGGGAGAAACTCCAAACAACTTTCCGAGGCAAAGGTTATGGTCTCTGTGGTTCGGATGATGTGTGGAATAGAAACCCCAAGAAACTTAAAGTTGGGGACAGGTTATTAGTAAATGGGGGTGCTTCACAGAACCCAGAGGCAGAAACCTCTCATGACCTCAGGAGAGGGCTGGAATTGAAACTCAGAAAGCCATTTGAATCTTCTGTAAAGCCACCTGCTTTTCTCCTCTCAGCTACCCTGTTTAAGTATGCATGCCTCTTAGCCCCGAAGTTTACTTGGGTAGCTCCAGAAACAAACCCACTTTTCTTGGAGCCAGTTTGCCCACAATCCATTTGCCCAACTTAGATCAGATGTCCACCTCTGGTCCATGTGGTGTCTGGGGCATTTCCCAGAAAGAAAGGGCTTTGTCAGCTGACAGACTTCTAGACGGTGTCTTCGATGTGAGCTATGATGATTAATATTGTGGACCTGATGCATCATCTAGGGGACAAGCTTCTGGGAATGCCTGTGAGGGATGGTCTCTGGTTTACTGAGGTAGGAAGACCCATCCTAAAAGTGGGCGTCACCCTTTCCTGGACTTTTTCCCGGACTTTACAAAACGAGAAAGCTAGCTGAGTACTAGCATCACATCTGTGGTTCTCTGCTTCCTGACAGTGATGCACCTTGATCAGGTAGCTACCTTAAACTCCTGTCACCAGGACTTCCCCATTGTGATAGCCTGTACCTTCAAACTGTGAGCCAAAGTAAATTGTTTCACCCTTAAGTGTCTTTTGTCAGAATATTTTATCACAGCAGAAGGAAAAGTAAAACAGAGAACCCCCCCTTTTTTTTAAATAATATTTTTTTGTCTCTTGTTTTGTTTTTTGAGACAGGGTCTTCCTGTAGTCCCAGTTGGCCTGGAACTTTCTATGTAGATCAGGCTGGCCTTAAACTCACAAAGATCTGCCTGCCTCTGCCTCCTGAGTGCTGGGATCAAAGATATGAGGCACCATGCCTGGCTGAGAAAGCTCTTTCAAGTTTCAAATTCAGTCACCAATGACCACTTTTCTTTCCTTCCTTCCTTCCTTCCTTCCTTCCTTCCTTCCTTCCTTCTCTTTCTTTCTTTCTTTCTTTCTTTCTTTCTTTCTTTCTTTCTTTCTTTCTTTCTTTCTTTTTCTTTCTTTCTTTCGGTTTTTTGAAACCAGGTCCCCAGCTGGCCTGGAACTCATTATGTAGACCAGGCTGTCCTTGATCTTACAGAGCTCCGCCTATCTCTGCCTCCCGAGTGCTAGGATTAAAGGCATGTGCCACCACATCCAGCCCAATGACTACTTTTTCTAATGCTTTTGATAAACTAGGTATTTCGTTGACTGCAAGAAAGATTGCAATCTGGTCCTGTTATTCAGTGGGGATAGATGCATATAGAGATAATTATTGTGGTGACAATACAACATGGTGAGTACCAGCCTCATGCCCATAAAAGATACTGTGGGGCACAGTGATAGGAAGGATCACAGAAGGTTTCTTGGGTGTTGGCAGTTCAGGCAAGGGGCATGGGGGACAGGTAGCATGAACAAATCCCTGAAGTGTGAAAAGCAGGGCCTGGATCTGTGTGTAGGCCAGTGTGATGGCTTGTTAGGGGTGATGGGGCAGTGACCATGGATGAGGCTGGAAAGACATTTAGCTTTAATTCTGGTGACAAGGTCATGAGGGAGGGGTCATTGACGGCTTTTAAGTTAGAGTGAAACAATGAGACCTGGGTTTATATGATGGTATTAGTGTCCAACACCATGTGGAAGGGCAGCCTGGAAGCCTGTCTGAGGGCTAGTCCTTAACCTCAGTGAGATTGTGGACAGCCCACCCAGTCTTTGGTGAGGCCGGTGAAATAGATCCATAAGCAGGGTCACATTTGAATCTGGGACTGTGTGTACTGTCTGCTCTGTCCTCCCCTTTCCTCACACCTGTACAGTTTTCACTTGTCTATCAAGTGTTATATCATCTTACAGCTCTCTCTCTCTCTCTCTCTCTCTCTCTCTCTCTCTCTCATTCTGTCTCTCCACCCCCCATTGGTAAACCTAGGGCTTTGCACATGCTAAGCAACAGCTCTACCATTCAGCTATAATTCCAGCCCTACAGCCCGATGGTAGAATCCTGGAAGGTCCTAGGACAGCTAGCCTGGCATACAAAGCAGCAAACAATAAAGAGATCCTGTCTCAAACATGGTGGATGGTGAGGACAAACACCCAAGGATGTCCTCTGACCTCCAAACGAGTGCTATGTCACACATATGTCTGCACTCTCCCATATACACATGCATACACACATATCACACATCATGTATGTACACATGATATACACACATATGAACACAAGTCTCCCACCATTCCATCATTCCATCATTCCAGGTCCCCAAAGCATTCCCTTTCCAGTTGACCAACTCCTCACGGGAACTCAGCCCCCATTTCTTGCTGTAATCCAGGAGTACATGAACCTTTTGGCCTATCTCATCCCTGGTCTGCTGGGGCTGCTGAGCCAGCCTTCATCTGATATACATCCATATATTCACCTACAAAAAATGGACATTTGTGTTAATTTAATGAAAGTTTTATGGGAAGCCCAGCACTACTGTGGGCCACACTTTCCCCTAAGTCTCATCTAAATGTCTCCATGTTTTCCCCAGTTTTTTTTTCCTCCCAGAGGCATCATATGTTACCTTCCTCCTCCTCTTCTTCCTCCTCCTCTTCCTTCTCCTTTTCTTCCTCCTCTTCTTCCTCCTCCTGTTCTTCCTGCTTCTCCTCTTTCTCTTCTCTCTGATTCCAGTCTCCTACTTTACTATGTCCCCTCAGCAAAACAAAAACCTGTATGTTCAATCAAGCCCTGACATCCCCAGTTCCTGGTCACACAGCAGCATCTCCCCCCGAGGACTGGGCATGCAAGACCTTTACTGCCTCACTCTCATCTTTCCCCACACATTGCCTCCCAGGCGGGGACCATCTTCGTCCTTTGCAGCCCTGCTGCCTGTACATTTGCATCTGTTGTAAGGTGACACAACAGGTTCTTGGTGAGTATTGATTGACACTATATTCTTCTTCCCAGACCTGGCCATGGTTTTCAGACAGAGGTCTCCAGGGTCTCTCTCCTTCTGGCCTATCAGAAGAAAAACAGATGTGAGATGAGGATCTGTGGAATGTCATCTGCATTGTATTCCTAGGTCAGATGTCGATTGAAAAAAAAAAAAACAAAAACAACAAACCCTTCTCTACTGCTGCTGGGAACAGAGGCTTCAAGGCAGCTAGCTGCTGAACTTGAGAAAGACTGCCTCCTGCCTTGCTTTACTCCAGGATGACCACACACTGGGTGTACCTGGGGATTTCTGCATTTCGTCCATGGGAAGAGGACAGGAAAGGCTTTGGTTTGCTCCTGCAGTAAACTGGGGGTTTGAAAGGGGTTGGGCCTGGCCTGTGTCCTCCACAGATGCTTCTGTCATGGGAAAACCATATCCCAGCCTCCACCCCTGAATGACCCCAGTACTAACTTGACCTGGCCAGTGGACTGCTTCACCATGCTCACCATGCTGTAGAACTGTGGCAGCTGCGCCCCCCTGCCCCAAGGGTCTTTGCTTTAGAAATGCTGGTCTAGGCACTTTGTTAGCTGATGTGAATTCTTTATTAACACACACATCCTACCC